CAATGTAACCTCAAACTTCCGGGCTCAAGTGATCCTTCTGATTTAGCCGCTTAAGTAAGTAGCTTAGGCTTACAGGCATGCATCACCACACCATGATAATTTTTTCCATTTTTTTGTAGAGACCAGCTTCTTACTCTTCCACAGACCAGCTGCAAAGTCTTGTCCTCAAGCAGTCCTCCCTCCTCAGCCTCCCAAAGTGCCAGTCTTATAGGCATGAGCCGCCATGCCCATCCATATCACATGAACTTTGACATATTGACATTTAACTTCAAATTTCTTTCTAATTCCCTTTTTGAATTTTTACTTTGACTAATGACTTATTTAGAAGTGAGTTGTTTTCAAATATTTGAAGACTTTACAAAGATCTGTTATTATTTTCTAATTTAATTCCCTTATGATCAGAGAACATGCTTCTATAATTTTAAATTCTTTTAAATTTATTGAGACATGTTTTAAGACCCAGAATATTGCCAATTTGGTAACTCTTTCATGTACACTTGAAAAAAAAACATGTATTCTGTTGTTGATGGATGGAGTGTCCTATAAATATTAATTATATTAAGGTGGTAGATCATGTAATTTAAATCTTTGATATTCTTAATAATTTTCTGTCTACTTTTTCTGTCAGTTATTGATAAAGAAGTATTGAAAAGTTTGGCTATAATTGTGTAATTTTGTACTTCTCCTGGGAACCCATGGCTTACTTTCATGTAGTTCTGATACTAGCTCAACAAATATTTAGGATTAGTGCATCTTCTTGGTTAAGTTTCACTTCATTGCTTTTCATTAACTTTCTTTATTCCTGGTAATATTCCTTGCTCTGAAATCAACTTCATCTGATATTAACGTAGCCACTGCAGATTTCTTTTGATTCATGTTATCATGGCATGTATTTTCCTATCCTTTTACTTTTAACCTGTTTGTGTCCTTATATTTGAAGTGTGCTTCTTCTAAGTAGTATATTGTTTGGTCTTTTTATTTTATCCAGTGTGACAATTTCTGCCCTTAAATTGCAGTACTCATATAATTTACATTGAATGTGACTAATTGGTAACCATTGATAATGGTTTTCATTTTAAGACAATCATTTTGCTATTTGTGTTTTATTTTCTAATCTGTTCTTTTTTCCCTGTTTGTCTATTTCTGCCCATTTAAGATGAATTAAATACATTTTTTATGATTCAATGTTATCTCCTTTATTGACTTATTAGTTATTACTCTTTGCTTTGTTGTTCCAATGGTTAGCTTAGAGTTCATTTATTTATTTATTTTTATTTTTTTATTATTTTTTTGAGACAGAGCTTCGAGCTTTTGCCCTGAGTAGAGTGCCGTGGCATCACAGCTCACAGCAACCTCCAACTCCTGGGCTTAAGCAATTCTCTTGCCTCAGCCTCCCAAGTAGCTGGGACTACAGGCGCCCACCACAACACCTGGCTATTTTTTGGTTGTAGTTGTCATTGTTGTTTGGCAGGCCCAGGCTGGATTCCAACCCACCAGCTCTGGTGTATGTGGCTGGTGCCTTTGCTGCTTGAGCTACAGGCTCCAAGTAGGCTTAGAGTTTAGACGCTATTCTTTAACTTACTACAATCTATCTTCAATAGCCAGGCATGGTAGTACATGCCTATAGTCCTAGCTACTAAGGAGGCTGAGGCAAGAGGATTACTCAAGCTCCGAGTTTGAAGTTGCTAATGACATCACAGCACTCTACACAGGGTGACTGAGTGAGACTCTGTCTCAGGAAAAAAAAAATCTACCTTCAAGCGATACATTATACTACCTCACATGTGGTATTGAAACCTTTCTCCTACCAATTTGGTGTTAGTCTTATCCCATGTTTTCTTTACGTCTGTGTTACGAATTCCACATTACCTTGTTATTTTCGTTTAAACAAATTATTTTTAAGACAATTAAGCAATACATTTTTATATACACAGTTTTCCCTTAATATCTTCAGAGGATTGGATCCAGGACCCCCTGCAGATACCAAGATCTACAGATGTTCAAATTCCTCATATATAATGGCACACAATTTGCATATAACCTACATTCATCCTCTCATATACTTTAAATCATCTCTGTTACTTATAATACCCAATGCAATGTAACTGCTCTGTAGATAGTTTTGTACTATATTTTTTATTTTTTATGGTTGAGTACTATATTATTGGCTTTTTTCTAATGTTGTCAGCCTGACATTGTCCTAATTCACAGACGCAGAACCTGAAAATAAGGGGGAGAGCTGTACTGACCCATGCACTTATTCATGGTCTTTGTACTTTTACACAGATACTTTTATCTGGCATCACTTTACTTCATTTACTTTGTAATGTGAATCTACAGATGATGAATTCAGCATCTGAATGCATTTTATCTGAACTGTTTTGTATAACCTTCCTATTGGTTATTCAAGGATTCATCTTCAAATGAATTGATGCTGCTGTGAACATTTGTGTACAAGTTTGTGTGTGGATATATGTTTTCATCTTCAAAGATTCATCTTCACTGGGTATGGAATTCTAGGGTTACAGTTTTTGCTTCTCTTTTAGTCCCTTAAAGAAGTTGTTCCTCTGTCATCTCACGTACATAGTTTACACTAAGAAATCCACTCTTTCTTATTTTCTCTGTACCTGTCTTTTCATTGTTTGCTCTTGAGATTGTCTCATTATCACTACTGCTGAACAATTTGTCTATTCTGTGGCTTGATTGTTGCTATGGTTTGAATATGTTCCCCAAACTCACATGTTGAAAACCTAATCCCCAGTGCCACAGTGTTGGGAAGTAGAGCCTTATGAGGTGATTGGGTCATGAAGGCTCCACTCTAATGAAGATCTTATCAAAGAAGTGGATTAGTTATCTCTGGAGTAGCTGTCACAAAAGCAATATCTCTTTTGCGAGGACTGCCTTAGCCTTCTGCCTTATACTTTTCTGCCATAGGACAACCCTCACCAGATGCTGGAGCTATGCTCTTAGATTTCCCAGCCTCCAGAACTGTGAGCCAAATAAACTTGTTTATAAATTACCCCAGTTTGTGGTATTCTGTCTCTTATCCTTGGAATTTTTTAAAATTCTGAGATCTGTAGGTTTATAGTTTTTGTTATAAAAATGAGAATTTTCTCAGCCATTATTTCTCAAATATTATTTCTTTCCTGCCCTTCTCTCTAGTTTCATATATACTAGACTCCCTGAAGTTATTTCACTATTCACTGATGCTCTGTTCATTATGTAAATTCTCTTTTCTGTTTCTTTTTTTTACAACCCTTTTTACTGATACAATTTACATACTATAAAATTCACCCTTTAAAGGTTATAATTCAATAACTTTTAGTATATTCACACAGTAGTGCAACTATCACCATTATTTTTCATTCCAGAACATTTTTATTACACCAGTAAGAAAATTCATACTTATTAGAAGTCATTCCCCATTATCCCTCCTTCTGGCCCCTGGCAACCATTAATCTACTTTCTGCCTTAGAGACAGAAATCTGCCTTTTCTGAACTTTTCATGCCAACAGAATGATATAATATGTGGCCCTTGTGTCTGACTTCCTTCACTTTGCATGTTTTCAGGGTTTATTCATGGTGTATCACATATGAGTACTTCCTGTATTCTTATTGTTGAATAATCCATTGTATGAATATATGATTTTTGTTTATTCCTTCATCAGTTAATGAACATGTGTACTGTTTCCATTTGGGGGCTATCATGATTAATACTGCTGTGAACATTTGTGGACAAGTTTGTGTGTGGGTATATGTTTTTATTTCTCTTGGGTATAAACCTAGGAGTAGAACTGCTGGGTCATGTCTATGCTTAAACTTTTGTGGAAATGGCAAGCTGTTTTCCACAGCAGATGTACCATTTTACATTTCCACTGCCACTGTACGATGATTCCAATTTCTCTGTATCCTCACGAACATCTGTTATTATGTCTTTTTTATTATAACCAGCTTATTTGATGTGAGGTCCTATCACGTTGTGACTTTTGTGTTTTCTAAGTGGTTAATGATGTTGAACGTATTTCCGTGTGCTTAATTTTTCCATGGGCTTTTTCCCATTTTCAGAACCTTTGTCCATTGTTTTAAATTAAGTGTCTTTTTATTAAGCTGTAATAATATGTAACGACATAAATGTTTTTATGTAGTTTGGAGGCCAGTCTATTATTAGATATATGACTTGCGTACCTATCCAATGGGTTGTCTTTTCACTTTCTTCATGGTATCCTTTGGAGTAAAAATGTTTTTAATAGTCAATAAACATATTTACATGCATTCAGTCTCACTAGAGAATAAGGATAAATAGAAATAAGAATTTTTTAACCTAGTTAGATTGGCAGCTGAAAATAAGAAAAATTAAATTTATTATCAGAGAATTTTGAGCATTCTTATAAAGTTCTGGTGGGAATTTAAATATAAAAAATTTTCTAGAGACCATTTGGCAATGTATCTCAAAACCCCTAAGAAAAACTGTGCATCCTTTGACTCAACAATTCCACTTCTAGAAATTTATCCTATGGAAAATGTTGAACAACTTTGCAAAAATGGATTTTATCATTGCAATGTTTATATAACAGGGAATGGGAAGAGAAAAGTCTAATAGTAATGGATTGGCTAAATAAATTATGGTAAACCACATGATAAGACACTATGTAATTCTTATAAATGATAATTTGCATCAAGGATCACCACCTAACATGTCCACAGGGGCCAAGTATAACATAAACACATAGAGAGGTTCTCTAGCAAACTGGTCAGCATATTCCCCCTTTTGGAGAAGAAGACAGCTTCCATTAATTGATGCCAAGTAAGAAGTATGTGTATGGGGGTTTCGAGGTGGGGATACGGGGATATCTTATACTGTCAAAATAGCCAATATTTTAAAAGAAGAAGGAAATTTAATTTTATGTGATATTTTCTGATTTTCAAAAGCTATCTATTGCTTAAACATTTTTTCAAAAACATTCAGTGGCCCCATAAAACATGTCATTTTGTGGACTAGATTCAGTTCAAAGGCTAGGAGCTCTTATGTACATATAAATTTACTGACATAGAAAGATATCCGTGATACATTTTTAAAGTCTTAAAAATTCTGTTAAAGTTTATGTAATATGATCTCTCTATTGTTAAAAAATGAAAGCACATTTACATATATAATCTCTAAACTGTATTGGAAGAGATATAAATTAAAATGTTAATACTGGGTGATTTTTATTTTCATTTGTATCATCAATGTATCAGATTTTCATTTGATCATCAATGTTTTGTTTTCATAAAAAAAGTGATAACAGCTTTTTGTAACTTTGGTTATTAAGGAAAGAGTTAAAATTCTGGTTTAGAATTTTGAGAATAACTTTAAAATCAAAATCACTATTTAAATTCTTTTGCACATAAAATCAGAAAGACCTGAGTTCAAAAATCAATTCTTCCACTTACTATAGGTGGGCTTTCTGACCTGCAAAATGTCAGTGATAACACCTACCATCTCCACCTCAAATCTCCTTGGTGGTATAAAAATGAATTAATTAAAATAGAATTAATATGTCCAATGCTAACTTTGTAGTATCACCAAAAGCTAAGTTAATGAAAAGGGCTTTTTCTACTGCAGTTAAAATCTGGAAAGGAGATAGACACTGGCAGAATGTAACAGTGAGTGGAACTGTAATAAACAAAAGATTTTGCTTGTTTGTTTTTGGTATTCTATCTGGAGGCAAGAGCATCATAGGGACCTTTACCCTTGCACCTCTTTCACTCTCAGAATCCAAAGCTCCCCCTGCTGACATCTCCCTCACCATTTAGCAGCAACGCCCACAGGATTGGAGCAGAGAATGACTGGCATCCATTGCCAGAAGTAGCATCCGATGAAGTGGAGCTGTTGCATGTTGTTGAGAATATCTGGGTAGATCATAAGTGTGAGTGGAGCTCTAGGACACATAGAATAAACAAGGAAGGCTATATCCAAAGATTGAATTTGATCCTGAAGTAAACAAATGTATAAATACTCTTTGAGAGCTTACCACCCTTTATCTTTCCACTCCTATCACCAGGAAAGGCATGGATTTACCCAAGTGGAATTCAAGGAGGTGAAGTGGTCCACAAGTAAAATCAATCAATTGGCTGATGTAAGGCAGCCTTTGTTTCTGTCTGTTCCACCTCTTTGTTATCAGAAAGGTCTCAGGCATCTGCATTCCACAATTCTTTCTACCAGCAGGTTAAGTATAAGGGAGGATAGAGAATTTTTTTGGCCATTGTAATTCCACTGGAAACTTGCCTTCACATGACTTCATGTGCCTTCTCCACAAGTGCCCAGTTTTAAATCCAAGGAGTAATTTCATCATTTCTGGTCCATAGACATAGCATGCTCTCTAAGATATTTTTGGTATAATAGCCCATTTTTGTTATCTTTCCTTTTTTCAATTAACTCACAACAAAAGAGAACAATAAAAGCGCTTTTTCATATCTTTACTCTTTCAGTAATGTGCAACAAGAACATAATAGTGTTAAGAAGTCAGAAATAACACAGAAGCTATAGAAGTTGTTTTGTATTTGCAAAATTTCAATAATTATCTTCTCTAGATTCCCCAAATTAGCATATTTGTTAATCAAATTAATTAAGAAGCTTTTCAAAATAAAAGCAGTTTTATTTTATAAATAAATAGATTCTTTCCTAACCATAGAACATTTAGTTCTGTTAGAGTTAACAAACAACACACTCAAGTACTTTATGAAGACACTAGGGTAAAAATAATCTAGATGCAATTATGAATGTGCCCTAATTAGTCATTTGCTTCTTTTCGTGTGTATGTTTTTCTGTATGTGTTAAAATTATATCATAGATCTTTATAATCAGTTAATTCTTAAATCATCACAAAGATGTTATCTGACCCACAGAATTTATATCAACTCAATATGATGATATGATAGTTTGAATGATATCTTTACATTTAAATTTAGTTTCCCAATCAAATCTAAGACCTTTTAGTTGCCCATATCTGTTACAAAAAATAAATGCTAGACTCCTAGATTGCAAAAATGGAAACTTCCTATAAATCTTGAAATTGATGCCAGTATCACATCAAAATTGTAGTAACCGCAGAGTTTTCAGGGTGGTTCAGAGTACTACATATGTAGATATAAATTCCCTTATGATCAGCTTTCCATTAAAATTGTGTTCTTAGTAAATGACTACAGGAAACTTCCTAAAAGTGATTTTATTTAATAAATATTTTAAAGAGTTTATTAACTGAAAAAAATGACTTTTCTGATCTTTCCAGAAATTCTGCTCATCTCTTTAATGTTTTTTTTTTTTAACTTTTATTTCTACTGTGATTCTTAGGAATTTTTCTAATCTATAGTCAATCTATCAAAACATCAATGCTTTGATAAATTTGGCTTCCTTCAATAATAAGCTATGCTGAGATCTCTAAATGAAAATGACAAAGGCAGAGAAGTAAAATTGAACACAGCAACAGGTTACACTAAGTGCTTTTAGAATTTCAGATTAACACATTTGTCCCAAAATGATAAAGATAAAGGAATAACTTACTAAATGAATAATACAACACAGAATAGATTTTAACAGAATTTCTCTCACTCACTCTGTCTCATCCAGACACACACACTTCTGCACACATCCACACATAGGTGTTGACACATGTCTCAGAATTTAAAACACTGCTACTAAAGGCTTTAACTTAGATAAATTAACTACACTAAAATACTGACATTGTGAAAATATCTAAGTCCAAAACCCCATAGAGGGCTTTTTTGTGTGTGAACTTCTAAAAAATTTAAAGAAAACAGCAAGAAACCGGAGTCCTTGACAAGTAGGAAGGGCGCCCCTGGCAATGCTGGGTGGGTCACAGCTTCCCGTTCTCCTCACCACCCTCCTTCTCCTCTATGGCTTCCAGGCTGCGCTTGCTCTTGGCCTCAGCACCACTGCTGGGGGCTTTGCTCAGTCCACAAGACAAGCACGCCAGCTGGATCTGCTTCATGTTTTCTATAGCTTCATGCTTGGCATTCTTCAACAGATCTCCTTGGCCCTGCAAACAGGAAAAACAGACACCAAAGAAGAAAGTTATGGGCTGGGCACATCCTGAGTCACATTGTGCTAGAGCCTTGGTGCCATTGCTAAACGAGGAAACAGACCCAGGGTCACTTTTCTGAGGGTTAATCCAAGGTTCTTTTCTAATATTATTGAGATAGTTTGCTCTTTAAGCCAAGGACCTCAACTTGAACCTGACCTGGCCCTGTAGCTGTTATTAGTCCCTTAAGATTCCTGTCATGGGGAACCCTCCTCTTTATATGCTGAGGAAAGTCAACTCTTCCATAACCATGGTTTACAACTTTGCACACTTCTACAATTCCTACCTCACCCAGACCCAGATTTTCTAGGCTTGGTAGAAAAGGAAAGTTTTTCCTTAAAGTAATAAAAGTAGGCCAGTGGTGGTGGTTCACACCTATAATCCTAGCACTCTGGGAGGCTGAGGCAGATGAGAGCTCAGGAGTTTGAGACTAACCTGAGCAAGAGTGAGATCCTGTCTCAACTAAAAAAACAAAAAATTATCCAGGCATTATGATAGGTGCCTGTAGTCCCAGCTGCTAGGGAGGCTGAGGCAAGAGGTTCGCTTGAGCCCAGGAGTTTGAGGTTGCCGTGAGCTATAATGCCAAGGCACTCTAGCCTGGGGCAATAGAGAGAGATTCTGTCCCAGACAAACAAACAAACAAACAAAAACAAGAAATAAAAATAAAATCAGCTATTCAGTATACAAGCACTTATCCAGCAATGTATCTTCTGCAAAGTAAATCACACACCCTTATGCTTGGTGAGCTGGTTTTTAATATATTGGGTTATCCTTGCAATCTGCCTATTGTTAAATTGTTAGTTATCCACATTCCTTCTGTCATTTCCATCATCTTCAGGACAGTGTTCCCATCTGGCTAATGGAGAAAAAGTCTCCAAAGGCTCAACATGTCAATCAAAACAAAAAAGCAAATGAGGATTGCAGAGCCCATTAGCTGTCATTTACATTAGTGCCCGACTGAGATTTTTATTTCTTATTTTAGCTCATTGTTACCATGATCAAGTGTGTGTGCTGATAGTGGCCCAGGGGCTGGAGGACAGAGTGTGAGGAAGCAGGAATGTTTCTATAGTGTACAGAAAGGAAGCAATTTCTTCTCTCTCTCTCTCTCCCCTCTTCATTCTCATGGCGTTGCCTGAGAGTGTGACCTTGAAACTAAAGGACGACATGGGAGGATGTGGAGGTTACACAGATTGCTGGACAGTCTCTATAACGCAGAGGCTCAGGGAAAGGATAATTCACTTATTTTATGCAAGGTATTCCATGATGCACTATGATATCTTTTTAATTTGATGAATGGTTCCTAACATGTATTTTATAACACCTTGGAATATCTCATTCCACAGAATCTAGACAGGCACTTTCCGAGTCTATCCTATGTAATGGCAGCTAAATCTTTCTAATAACAGTCTTTAACTGTATAGGATGAATAAACATCTGCGCTGCACCTAATATATGTGTTAAAGTGAACTTTCCTTCGAGTATCTCGGTCATGACATGTGACTTTGGAAGAAGAGTTGGAGAGTGTATCATTTAGCCTTTTCATAAAGAGAAATAAAGTGGAGCCTGATGAGGTTAAACAACTGGCCCAAGATGACAGAGGGGACCAAATCTCAGGTCTTGACCTCCTGGGTTGGTGCTCTGTCCCATACATATGTTTAAAATCTAGTCTAACATGGAAGACTGGCAGAGAGGGACATATTTCCTAAAGAAAAATATTCACTTCACTAGCAGAATTTGGGGAATCTGTTCTTAATATACAGGCATGATGAGTGAGTCCCCTCTGGATACTGCAAGTGATGTCACACCCACTCAAAGAATACAACTCTGAGGCAGTAACAATAACACAACCGCACAGGGCTCTCCCTGCCACTCTCTGTGCTTTACGTTCTTTCATTCAGTCATCACAACACTCCTGTGAGGCAAGTACTTCTATTATTTTCACTTTACCAATAAAAAGCTGAGGCCCAGAGCAAACCACCTTTCCAAAGCTGCACAGTTTGAGGTCCAGCAGTTGGCCCCAGAGTCTGTGGTCTTAACCACTACACAACACAGCATCTCTTAGAGGTGAAGCATGCACTCTCTGCAAAGCACGTTAATGCCTCCTGTTCACTGTTACCCATGGAAACAACACAGATACCAAGGAAAGTACAGGCACATGACACAGCCTGGCAGAACTTAGAAACGGATCTAGAGTCAAGAGGACAAGAAGCACCAAGAATACACTGGGAGGGAAAAGTATCTTTAACCAATTTCTCCCTGGGTCATGTTCTCTTCTGTAAAATAGATAAAAATAACCTTTGGTCTTCTTCACAGTTCTAAGATTAAAGAAAATATGTTAAAGGGCTGTTTATGGTTTCAATTATCATAAGAATAGGAATCACCATGCTACAAGGTGATCTGAAAGCAGTTAACATTATCTACTGCTATAAAAAACATCTTTGTACTGTGTAAATTTTAATATGAATTTAACTAACTTGTCTACAAAGGTCTGTTTTATAGATACATATTGCTACTATTTTTACAAATGAAAAATTCCTATAAACACAGTTTATCAATAATGAAAATATACCAATTTTCGTTTTCAGGGTATTACTTCTAAGTGTTCCTTTTTCATTTAGTTTTAAATTTTCCTCTAGAATTTTGAAAGCACAACGGAAGAAAAACTGGAATCCTTCCTACTTGCACGAGAATAGTGGAACGTGCAAAAGTTACCAAGTTGGATGTTACTAATGCATCTTGTTCTCACCTCCTGTTTACTATAGCAGGTTAAAAAACATACTTTAAGGCCAGAATGTCATCTCATTGGTTCTGAGATGTGGCATCCAAGTCTAAATGCCAGACTGTGCCAGTTCTGGTACACAGAAGTCAGTCTCTCTAGAAAACAATGACCAATTGGAGAAAACAGTTTGTACCAGGGCACAAGAACACAACTACATCATCTCCTGAGAACCCAGGAGACGACGCATACTGGCTGCATGACACAAACCAAAAAAATAAAAATAGGACCACCAAGTTCAACTATTAACTCATAAAGGAAGAGAAAAGGAAAGGCTATGTGTTGAACACTGCACACTGAAACATTCACGTAAAAATCTGTCTTCTATTTTTTAAGAAAGAGGAACGAATACTGATCATCTTTCTGTTCTGTGGTTCAAGGAATCACATACTGTCTCTTTTCTTTGGGTCCTCCCCTTCACCTGAACCGGAAACAACCCATTCTAGATAACACGGCCGAGTGGGAGGAGTCGATGGTTAACGACCCCAATCCTAGCATTCCTTTTTAGAGCTGACTTTTTCCCCATTTTTCTCTAACTATCTAGCAACCTCTCTGCTCCATCACAAACACCCCCACGCTCCTCCTAACTGGCCAGCATACACCAGAGCTCCCTCTGAACATCTTTGTCCTGTGTATCATTTCCTTCAAGATGTATTAGAATCAGAATTCAGACCAGCTAAGCCACTTAAAGGCATTAGTCCGTAGTCTATATATCACTATTTAAGGGGAATTATAATAGTGCATTCTAAGCATATGCTTTAATCCTATTCTTTTCAAACAGAGGTCTTAGGGGAAGAAGAGGAAGGAGAGAAGTCAAGCAGAATTCATTTCACTGGCAGTGTATAAATTGAAACACCTCCTGTATACTAAAATAGGTCTGGGATTCTCATGGCATGGAAAACAAAATTAACGTATAGTTTGGCCACTGAATGCTTGACTTGAAAGAAATGTCAAGCTGCTGCCAGCATTTCTGTGCTAACAGCCTCCTGGGGATTATAGTTTCTGTCTTCTGGTACTAGCGATGCTTCAGGGAAAAAAAAATAAGAAGGATTGTTTTAATGCAAAGGAAAGAGAGTATAATAAAGAGCATCTCAGGCAGTGTGATGCCCAAGGAATAACAGGCACTAGCAGAAGCCCCAGCAGCCACCACTCAGCCTCCGCAGCTCTTGGGCTTCTGAATATATGATTCCATTGCAATTTCAACACATTTAAAAAGCAACACTTTGAATCATGGAAAACCATAGAGATCCTTACAGAAACTTTGAACCCCAAAGTTAGTGATGATTAATGAATATGGAGAAAACAAAGACTAAGCATTCTTTTCCAAATCTCCAATTGCATTAAACTGAAATTAAAGTACATTATCTAGAAATCAGGAAATATCTGATGCAATTTAGACCGCAAATCAGGCTGCTGTATCATAACACCACAATTTTGATTGATAAAACACTATCACAACACTGAACAACAGCTAACATTCCTTGAACATTTAATACACTAAGTGTAAACCAATTTGCATACATTATCTCATTATATCATAACCAGAAAAGAGGCCAGAATTCTAAATGTAAATTATCTATTCATTATATGTGTTTAAATCTATAAAAGACACTTAGGATTTATGTTATTCCTGTTCTTACAAGAAACGCAACCCCTCATCACTCCTGTTTGAAAATAGCTTTGGCTAAAATATGGCATAGTCACTCACAAGAGACATCCTGAGGGCCCTTCACACCCATTTTTCCCACGAACTGCACTATCCCTTGTGATATTAGCACACAAAAGAACAGGAGAACAGCATAGCCGGTGTCCTCATGTGTGAAGGAAATGCGTGGGTTGTCTCAGAGCACACCACAAATATTTAAAGCAGTCAACTGGGACTCTGGGAATGGAACAACACTCACATATATACAACTACACACATAAACAAATCCAGCTCTGTCTCCAGGCCAACTCACATGGGTATCTTTGAGCACACACTCAACAGCAGACTGATTTCCCTGATATGCTTTCCGTGGGAGCGTCTCCATCCACAGCTAGAATCACCCACGCTTGCACTGCAGTAAAAGTCAGCCACAGCCACTGCGGCAGGATAAGCAACCCTTGATGTGCTCCAGCCGCCACAGACGGACCAGACTGTGGCGGGCTGTGCACCACTGCCATATTATTAGTTCAAAGGCCA